GATTTTTAGGCTATAAGAGTAGCAATAACAGGCAAGCCAAGAACAATATTAAATTATTATTTTTTATTTTAGTTAGAATGTGCTAAGCTAATTACTCTTTTAAAAAAAAACAAGAAATATGATATAAATAAAAAATATTAAATAGATAGATATAATAATAAATTGTATTAATATAATTAATATATTATAAAGAAAGATATCACCCTATTTACTCTATGTCATTAAAATTATCAATATAAAAAACTTTAGTTTTATATAATAATTATAAATATTAAAATTATAATTGATATAATTAATATAAGTATAAATTATATTAATGTACTTAAATATTTAATAAATATTTTTAAAATAAAAATAATATATATAATATTTGAGATGAGATGAGACGTCTCGATGATAATCTTTTATCCCATCCAGTTCTAAATCCCTTTCCTATCCTGATATAATCGAGATAATATTGGGTTAATTGAAATGTATATAAGCTGAGCACTCCTAGCCAAAAAATGTATTTGAGATGGTCCAAATCTATCAACTCATGATGGCTCTAACATAATCGATCGGGTCTTTGGGTTCCCACAGCTCTCGCCCCAACAAAAAAACCAAGGTTTTAGGCTTGCATAGTTGATTATAGAACATATTCAAGCTGGCTGGCATAAAATGGTTTAATCATTCATAATTTTCTTTTATCATTTTTTCAATAAGTAAAGCACAACAAAGTTTTTTTTTTCCACAACTTCAATTCCAGAATTCACCACTTTGGTTAATAAATGATTAAAGTAATTTAGGCATTTATAATTTTCTCTCACCATTTTCTTCATTCAACAAAGTATAATAAAGTTTTTTTTCCACAACTTTAGTTATGAAAATCGCAAATTTGGTTCAGTAAATTTCTAAAATTATTTATACTATGCTTGGCGCACAAGGAAAAATAGGAAAGAGAGAAAATGAAAAGAAGAAAAAAGTGAAGGAATACAATTTTCTCTTATTATGCTTGGCTAAGCAAGAGAAAACAAAGAGGAGAGAAAAGTTATTAATTTTATATGGGACAATCATAATCTATTATTATAAAAATATTTATATACAGTAAAAAATATTTTAACAATTATATATAATAATTCTATTATGTACTATTGTTGAATAAAATATAATTACAAATCATTTCATCCAATATTGACAAAAATTATTTTATGTAATTTATAATTTTATTATTAAATTATTAAATATATAATAATCTACTGTAACACACCAAAATTTTTTTTTAAAAATATTTAACTCAACCATAGTTGAGTTACAGCCACCCAACACATTTTTATATCAATAATTTCAATATAAATATTTTATAATTGGCTTCAACTCACACACTATAAACATTTCAGATAATTTTTTACCTCCACATGCCATTAGGCTAAATCACATTTGTCCATCCTTATACTCCCAACAAGTAAACTAAATCACATTATCCATCCTTATACTCCCAACAAGTAAATAAGCAATTTAGTCAATTTTCAACACAAGCCAATTATTTGGCCTTATAATCATGCCATTTTAACCAATCCAAAGTAAACTAAATATTAAATTACAGTCATCCAAATTGTACCAAAAATAGAAATATTTTAAAAGGCATGATTACATTTATATATTCATATAATTGACAATAAACAAAAAGCCCTAATATTGGCAATATAACACATTATTAAATCATAAATTAAATACCCAAAAGAGACAGTGAATCTATACCACTAAGCCTCTAGGACTCCTCCACATGTCACTCGTGGCTCTTCTCCTGAAAATTGTTAACCACATAATGAGACTTAAAGTTTCAGTAACCAAAGCCAATTTATGATAGTGTATACAAACAGTTAAGTGTGTGCTTACTAAGTGAGAATTAAAAATAATATAATTCCAACAAATATAAGAAATCTTACAATACACACAAACAACCATCCTTATATCCCTCCATTAACCTCGAGCCGTAGCCCTCACTCGGTGCTAAATTACCCGGCCAAAGGTAGATTAGCCCGAGCCCTTACAAGCCACCTATTGAGCTCCAATAGGGGCATACCACGTGGCACATAAATACAACAACAATAGCAAGTCTCCCAACACCTCCCACAATAATCAAATAATTCATAATAATATTGCACAATTATATAACATTCAAAATTTATAATTTTCTCAATAATCACCCAATTAACATGAAGTAACACTAATCACAAATTAAAAGCATGGTTACCTTGTGACTTTTTAATAAATTATTCCTTAAAATTTCTCTCTTACCACAATCTTCACCAGTAATACAATCTACAAATAACATATTATTTATAAATATTAGTTTCAATTTTTGAAACTAATAAAATAATTATAATCATAGAATTAAAAATATAACATAATTCCTAATCTCAATCTTAATACAAATCTAGAGTAAGACTATTAAGTAAAATTTTTAACTCCTCTTTTAATTATCAATAAACATTAATAATCTAAAAATCAACTTCTAAACTAATTTTTATTATCAAAATTTTCTTTTTATTTCTTAAATTCGTACCTAAAATATCTAAAAATTAAAAATTGAGTCTCTAGCTTAGAATCATAATCCTATAGCCATAATAATTCATTTCTCATCCCAAATAATCATCTAAACCTCAATAAATCAACATATATTTTCAGATCTAGTTTAGAATTTGATCCATAAGCCACAAATTCAAAGATCATCAACAAATTTATATTCTAGAACATTTATTATACTACTGACAACCTAAAAAATCATATTTATTCAACATAAATTCATCCCTCTTTCAGATCTTAAATTTTCTACCACTACAAACTCAGAAATCAAAAAAGAAGGATGACTAAGAAAAATTTTTAGAACACTTATTTAGTCTTAAAAAGCTTAAAATCACACCCTAAATATCCTATTAAAAACTCTTACCTTAAAAATTAGATATTTCGCACTGGCGACTCGCGTTCTCTCTGCCTCAGCACGCACGAAGGAATGAATGAAGAAACGAAGGAACATGTGAGTTTTTATAAAAATTCAGTGGGTCTTACACATTTTTTTATTATTTCTTCTTTCTCTCTCTCCTTTTTTTTATTATTATATACATAATGATTGTTGTGCGGCGGCCGAAAGCAATTTTGTTCTTCTTCTTCTTCCCCCCTTTTTTTAATACCTTTTTCCTTTTTTTATTATAATAATAATTTAATAATATTTTTTTATTTTTTTAATTATTTTTTATTTTTTTTAGAATTATATCCTAAGTTAGATTTAATAATCATCTCTTACTAATTTTCTTACCTCTAAATATTATTTTTTTAAATTTCTATTAACCCAAATTAACTATTAAAATTTAAATTGGGATGTTATGCTTACAATTTTGAAACTACAACCAAATACATGAAACTTAACTGAAAATTTAGAATTAACACTTTTTAATTAATCTAAAAAAAAATATACTATTTTTTAACAAAGTTCATGATTAAAATAAACTAAACTATGAATATAAAATTTAGAAATTAGTGGGTAAATTTTAAAATAAAATTTTCTCTCCAAATTTATCTATATTTAAAGAGAAAAATTGGAGGTAAAAAATATGGATCCTACTATTATTTTTTTCATACTTTTCTCTCCCCTTAACTTTTCTCTTTTACCAAGCATAACAGATTTACAACTTTATTCCTCACACCATTTTTCTTCATTTTTTAAATTAAGGAGTATCTTTGTTATTTCATTAAAAACTTTAATGACAATTAGGTCCTTGAGAACTTATAAAGAATCATCACATTTTTCAAGATCAAATTATCATTTTTTTATTTTGGAGGGATTTATTTATCATTCTCCCAAAATATTATTATACTCATGAATTTCCATAAAAATTGTGAACTCAGATATCTTAACTAAATTAAATCCTATGCGTTTCACGGATTTATAATTTTAAAAATAATCAAATAAATATCTTAACAACTCATTGAAAAAGGTTATTGTATTTGAAATGATCTTTTGAAAATATAAATGAGTTAAGAAATTATTCTCAAACAACATTTCATTGTGCATTGATAAAACGATGACTTAAGTATTATTAAAAAAATTAACAATATATAATTTTATTACTTATATATTTGATATTTTATTAATTAAATATATTTATTTCACTTGGCATGCAGAGGGTTCGTATAATTTTATTAATTAAATATATTCAAATTCAGGATAGGTTAAGGGCTTCTCGCCCTGTGGAGCTTCGCTGAACTATTTTTGTTTGTTAACAAAGTCAAACGGATTGACAAATCATAACTCATAGCTTTTGAAAGCTTCCAATCAAGATTTTTAAACATAACTGAGATTCAAACCTCAAGTTTAGGTATAACTTCAACCATTCTCAAACACAAAATCCTAAACAAGAACAAGCAGAAAAGAAGAGAAGAAAGGTGGAAAAAAAAAATCATCATTGCTTCAAAAATTTGGAGCAAAGCCAAGTATCTGAAACTTGAGTCATGATTTAAGTTTTGAAAAATTAATCTGTAAGCCGTTATTGTTTCTCTCAATTTTAAATTAGTTTCTTGTAATTTATTTTATTTTAATGGATTAAAGGGTATTTTCCTTCTAAACTATTTCTCATGAGTATTTGGTATTTTAAATTTATATGTGGTGTAATTTTTTCTTTTGATATTTTAAAATAATGTATTTGTAATGACCTAAAGTTTTAGGTAAATAATAAATTTAAATTTATTTAAGGCATTCAAACATATGGTAATGATCCAAAAATTTAATTAAAATTGAAAATGATGGTAATTTATTTTAATGATATTTTATATATTTTGGGGATAATTTTACTGAAAGCAAATGTTGGTCTAGTGAAATTTAAGCCAATCTATCACCTGATGCGTCCTGAGTTCGAATCCTGCTGTCATAAAAGGGCAGTTTTATTTTTGTTTTAACCTCCTAAAATTACAGTTATGCCCTCCGTGCTGTCAGATTTTTCCTCTCTCTTTACCCTTCTCTGATCCATCGAACTTGCTAGAGGCAGAGAGAGAAGTTCTGGCATCGGACCTAAAATGCCTCTGCCATTTCCGTCATCTTCCTTCTTCCTCCACTGATCTCAATGTCGCTGGCGCCATGGGTGTTTGGAGAGCTGTGTCTGCTGTTGCTCTGTCAAGGTCAATATTTCTTTGTCTTCCTTTGCTTCTCATATTCGAAGTCTCTTCTGCCCTTTTCGTCTGTGTAGCTGCATAGATGCGTTGGGATTGATTTCTTCCTATTCCCTTGTTTCATCAGCGTCGGTCTACTTGATTCTTCCCTGTGAACACCGTCGATCACTTCTCCCCTGTTTTTGGCGTTGATGCGTGCTCATGTGACTGGAAAAAAAAACAGAGAGAAGAAAAACTTCGACCTTCTCCCTCTTCAGGTGTCATAGGCTCTGTTGGTGAGTGAACCTCACTTTTTTCTTCTAATCTCTCGCCTGGTTATGTTTGTGTGTGATTGGGTTGAATTGCTGAAATTTGAAATTTTATGTATCCTATTTAAAAGTGCTGATTATGTATGAAGATGGTGGAATGATATTCCTTTCTAAAATGGGATTGATAATTTTTAAGATATGAATTTGGGAATAATAGGAAATCTATATAGATGTTGGAAGAGTTTTGGGAAAGAGATTTAAAAGTAAGGGATAGTTTGCATGGTTTAATTCTTAATGCGCACAAGGTGCTTGGAAAAATGTTTGATAATGTTGAACAAGTTGTAATAGAAGTGGTCTACTTTCTATAAGAAGTTTGATTTTATAGTTACATATTTGATGTTACACGGTATTTGTCAAATTGCTTGTAAGAATTGAAATGGAGAAATCAAGCAGTCATTGTATCAGAGAACTAAGATTTGAATTAGTTTGTTAAATTTTTATATTGAAATTTAAGATGGTAGTGATATTGGTTGTATATATATATATATATATTATTTGATGAAAATTATTGAGAAGAGATTTGAAGAGAAAGGAGCTTTGTAATATAAATGAACCTTAACACACATAAAATGTTGCCCAATTATGTAAAAGAGGAATTGATTGGGATGGAGCAATTGAGTATATTCACTATATTAATGACTGGGATTTAGATTTAAGTTGTTCGATTTCTATGTTGAAAATTTAGAAGGGTTAAGTTATTTTTTTCTTTTTCTTTTTCCTTTAAAAAGTTTGTCGTCGTATACTTTTGAATGGAAAAGTATCTATTGTGTAGTTGAAATGCAACCTCAAATGATTTAAGTAGTTTGGGTTGATGAATATATGTTGGCAATATATATAGAGTAGAGTCGTTATTAAGAAAGTTGTTTGTTCCTCTTATCTAGGCAATAATGTAGCTAAAAAGACTATTGAGATGTGATTAGATGGAACAAAACGTTATTTTGAGAGCTTATCAGGTAAGTGGATAACGTCCCAATCAATTTATATATTTGAAAATTTTCTTTTATCAACTATTATTTTCAATAATTTACCGTCATTAATACATGCCACTCTAGCATTGAGTAATATTGTTGATTAAATTTCTTTAGCTCTTGAAGTTATCATGATTTATACTTATAAGATTGGCAGAAATGCTTTTATAAATTCTAGTGTTCTTTTATTCAATAAAGACAATCATTGAAATGGTGGATGTTGTTATAGAACATTAGTTGTGAATCTTCATACTTTAAAGGATTGATATTTTAAACAGTTCATGCGAGTTTGATATTGAGAAGAGAAAAGTTTATTTTGAAAGTGATGATTTTCTCGCATGTTTGAAAAATGAATTTTAAAGAGACTTTATACAAAACACTGGTTGCTAACAGCAGTTCCGTTAGCCTTTAGCGCGCCATGGTACACCTAGCTAGCAGGGTATGTATAGGAAGTGCTAGCCCTGTGTGATGGCCAACGCACGTGGAACGGAGGGATGGTTATTCGTGAGCATCGTACTCACGTTTGTTTCGTCGCTTTAAGCCGCGTTTGGTTAGCATTACCCTCGTGGATTGTGTGTCCACATTTGTTTCGTAGCTTTGGCTGCGTTTGGTTACTTACCCTCGTGGATTATGTGTCTACGTTTTTTTCATGGCGTAAGTCGCGTTTGGTTATTTATCCTCGTGGACTGTGTCCATATTTGTGAATTGTTCTGATAAATCTCCAGAAATGTGAATTTGTAATTAATTGATGATTTCACACTCTAATATTTGTATTTTTTTCTTTCTTTGTAGCAAATGATATTATTTTTAATTATGTATTTATTTAATTATTTTGACATGTCAAGATCAAGTATTAAGTTGCTTTATTGCTGTAGATTTAAAGTTCTTTAATATTGAAGTTATATAGAACTTTTATTCCTTGCTTACAAATTTGAGTACTTTGAATTTCTTTCTCTTTAATTTATGTAACTATTATATTTTGTTCATTTTAATTGTGGAAAATTTAATGGTTGGGACGTTATTCACTGGAAATTATTATTTTGGTCTCAGATATGTTAATTGATGCTGTGACTTTCGCTGGTCCTTACGGGGCTGTTGTATTCAATTGAAACGAAGAATGGTAGATCAAATCAATTTTAATGTGCATTTAAATTTATGCATTATATTTTGTAACTTCTTGTGTCAGGTGCTCTATATAAGCTGTAGTTAGGGTCCTCATCCTTATTGATTGTTTTTGTTATCTGCTGGTGAGAGCAGAGTTCCTTGTTACTGTTGTTGTTTTGTAAAATGATTGTCGATTTGTTTTTGGGGGAATTTATTGAGAGGGGACGTTTTGTTGAATTTTTTTTTAAAAAAAAGTCTAGAAATCTTTTATAAAAAAATAAAATAAAAAAAATAATATCGCGATAAATCCCAACCCTATGTCATTTGAACTAAAATATAAAATTAGAGTTTCTTTGATCGAGGTTTAAGAGATGTATGTTTGTATATATATCCCATGTCGGTCATGTTTAAATTTTCAAGGCATGACAGTATTGGACACCTTCCATTATAATCTTGAAATTTTAAAAATGAAATTCATGCTAATCATTTCCCTCAATATTTTATTCCTCATGTCAATGTTTTAAAAACCAGACCAGATAATGAAATAAAAATATCAATGGGTCACAAGTCTCATAGTTTAATCAGTTAGACTAGTGGTTAAATTAGTTACATAATAATTAATAAATAATATTTATATACATATATATTAAAAAATAGGTCAAAGTGGTTGAACTGCTCCGAGTTTTAGATTTTTGCTCTTAATTTTCAAGAACTGCTTGGGTCAAAATAGGCTAACCTGGGTCAATTATCATAATGGACCAAATAGTTGAACCAAATCATTTTTTTTTTTTTTGAGTAATGGTGTGACCATTCTGCACATCTGGGTTTAAAATTAATTCCTCACGTTGAGAGGATTTCTTCACATTAATTTGTATATATCATCTTATATTTTTTTTCTCTTCACTTACTTCTCTTTAATTTTGAATTTCGTGATTTTTCTTGCATCTTCTTATTTTTCTACAATCCTAACAATGCAAGAAACGAAGTGGATTGAAAGTTGAAAGTTGCAAACATTGAAAAGGGAGAGAAGTTGTCGAGAAAGTAAAAGGAAATGGAAGAAAAGGAAGCCAACCTAGCTAACAAGAAAAATAGTTCAATTGTGCACCCAGAAGCCATAATTGTAAGCCTATTTACTACATTTTTTTTAAAAAAATAAAGTTAATCAATGATGATTAGGTTTTATAAAAAAATTAATTCTTTATAATATATAAACTAACATTGAAATGTCTATTAAAAAATGTGTTTATATTTAATATTTAACTGTATTTTAAATAGAATTATTTTAATAAAAAAATATTTATGAATAATAAAAAATTGAAGTTCATCCAAACCCCAATAGCCTAGCAACCCTATAATCATGCTTTGTGGTAGGGCTTGAGTTTAATCCAACTGGCCTACTCGAAAAAAAAAAAAAAAAAGCAGATACATGATTTGACCCGTTTATTATTATGTCGAGTTTCTAAAGTTAAGCCTTATCTAAAGTGTTACTTTTTAACTGCGTGTTCATAAAAGGCTAGGAAAAAAAGAAAGAAAAAGGCATGTACTGCACACTTCAGGAAAGGTCAATGATTTGAAAATCTTGTTGAAGGCAAGTAACGTGAAATTCTAAACACCAATTTAACGAGTTTTCATATAGCAACAAATTCTTGATTGATTACACATAGCCGCATTGATTATAAATATAATTAATATATAAAATATTTTTAACTAAAACTTATATTTCAATAAAAATTTATTATTTAATTGAAAGTACATGAAATCACAATATTTTTTGGCTTTATTCACAATAATATTACAATTAATATCATTACATGACAGTTAATAGAGCACACAATTAAGGTTTCCTCTATTTTTCAAGATAACAGAAAAATTATTTAATTAATTAAAAATATCATAACACCTTCTATATTTAAAAATAAAATAAATTTTTAAATAATATCTTATATATAAGGATGAAGTAAGTACCTTTTAAGAAAAATGTTACGACTATAATAAAAACAATGTGTGGATATTTTGTCTTAAAAGTTGTAAAAGTATGCTTATAATTTCTTACAGGTTTATAAAATTTTCATGTTAATAATTGTTCCCATGTCGCTTGATTTTACATGACGGGCTATACTTGATTTTTCTCCTGAAACAAATTATCTAATATTGGATAATAACCATATTTAAAAATTAGATCTTACAAATTGTGCTTAGGGCTAGCTGCTGCATTGTTTATAATTTTATAAACAATATACTTTTCTTAGTTCACAATATAGGAGCTTTTTTTTTATTGCAAAATCGCTGGGTAGTCAATTCTTTTGAATTATATAAATGATAATTTAATCCTTCGAAATGTCATAATACTAATAAAATTTTTAGGTAAAATGATCTTTTTAAAAAAAAAATTATTGATAAAGAGGTCCTTAGGGACTTCATTGATATTATGACATTTTTAAAAATTAAATTTTTATTTATATAATTAAAAAAATTATTGCCATTTTTCCTTATAAGAACCTCTCGGATTTCTCTCCAGCATTTATTTATTTATTTAAAGGACTATAGATATGGATATGACATATATTTATCAACCATGCCCAGTACAATCTGAAATCTCCTAGCAAAATTTGGGTATAAATTGAAATAAAATTATTAAATAAAATGATTAAAATATCCTTCCTTCAATATGTTGCAGCTAATTCTTGTGAACCACACTTTAAGAAAACTTGCTAATTCATTAACTTCACTTATTCATTTCTTTATATTACTTACTAACCTCGTAACTTTATTTATAAAGTCCATGTGATGAGTTAAAGTCATTACTCATTAAGATTTTATCACAACTCATAAACTAACCTACATTACTTATTAAAAGCTTTGCTTATTAATCCTCTTGTATAACTTGTTATGTCCAGTATGTTAATTGCAGCTAACTTGGTATTAATCCTTAAGAAAACTTGTTAATTCATTAGATATACTTATTTAATATTTCTTTATGCTACTTGCTAACTCTATAACTTTACTTGTAAAATTTGTTACTTTGCATGTTAAACCGTTATTATAACTTGTAAAATCAACTAGTTACTTATTAAAAGCTTTACTTTACTTGTTAATTTCATTGTCCTACTTATTACATTTAGTATATTGTAGCTAACCTAATTATTAAGTCTTAAAAACACTTTTTAATTCCTTAATTTCACTTCTCCATTCTCTTACAATATAAGAGAATGGATAAAGTAAAGTTAAAAAATTAACCAATAAGAGAATGGATAAAGTAAAGTTAAAGAATTAACAAATCTTTTCAAAGATTAATTCACTATGGTTAGTTGCAATTGCAACGTACTGAAAAAAAAAAAAAGTGTTTTAGTCATTTTGTTTAAGAATTTTATTTCATTTATACAAGATTGTGCAGTGGAATTTCATATTGTGTTGGACATGATTTGTAAATATGTCACACTTGTAGTTCTTTGGTGAAATTATCCCTTTATTATTTTCTTCTCATGATACCTTTTGTTGCTCTCTGACTTTTTTTCTTCCATTGCATAAAGGGAGATTAATATGAGAAAATATTTTAATGAGCTTGAAGGGTAATGTTTAAATGGACAAAACGCATGTACTGAATCTCATGTATTTCATATGATTGTTTTCAATTTAATTAAAATATGTGAATTTTTTATACAACATTTATATGGTATAAACGATTCACATATGAGCCCCACATAATTACTTGTCTCTTTATTGACGTAACCATTATTAAAGTATCCTCCAATAATAAAGATATTCTTATTTTGTGATATGATTTAAATCAACTCCTTCAAATCTTTTAAAAAAAGATTTTTAACATGGGCTTCTGCCATACTTAAAATAGATGACTATTAATAATATTAACAGTATCATGTCCAATAATTATTCTTAAAAAAAATAATTACATTTTTAATTCTTTTAATGTCTATCACATTCTTTTTTCACTCCTTATCAATAATGATATCCACCTTCATTTCATGAGTTTACTTTTCTTGTGTACCCAAATTTGAAACTTGCAATTTCCTTAGCTTTTTCACCAATCCATTTAGTTTCCTAAAGGCACAAAATGTGTATTTTTTTATGAATTATAACTCCCACAACCTTCATAGATAATATATTTGCAAAACAAGGTCCCAACATTCCCAGTACCCAATATGATTTTGCTCATATGAACTAACTTCTTTAGTCATGTTTGTCCAAAATAATATGAGAACCATTACTCATTTAATAGTACATCCGGACGTCGATGCAACAACTCTAACTTACTTGTTACTGTATTTGAGCCATATAGTGCATTAGCACAAAAATGTTTATTTCCATATCTATATGAGGTTTGACAAAGTTTTACATTGATTATTAAGGGTTTAACATAGTCCTTCTTTTTTTATACAGGCTTGAGATTGGCAGAGATATTCATATTAAATCATGTTGTTACATTACCTAAACGTCATATAAAAAATTTCATAAATTAAATAGTATAACTCGTTGAAAAAATAGCAATCAATAATCATTGGCTAAAATTTATATCAATTAAGAATTAATTATTATCAAAACTTGAATAAATATTTGTTAATAAATAAGTCTGAATAAACTACTGTTAATTTATAATAAATTATTATTAAAATTTAAATAGATATTTATTAATAAAAGACTATCTCAAATTAATAAATATCTATTTAAATTTTAATAATAATTAATTTTTAATTGATATAAATTTTGATCAATAACCCTGAGAGGTGGCTGTCTTCCATGTTGCTCACTTTTCAAGTATGAGCAGGCTATGGAAAATGCTGTGTCTTCATTTTTGACCATACAAAATAGTGTATTTTAAAAGGAGAAAACTAAAAGTCAAGTACTTTATCTTCATTGGGTCCATTCTCTAATGAAATTTTGCTTGTGCTTTAATTTTTTCCAGTGTCAAAATTTGATTGGACCAGTGGACCAAACGGATATAAAGCACTTGATTTTACTTTGTTCTTTTAAATCTCTCTTGAGAACATATATCACAAGACCAAATCAAAGCTTGATTTTTGTTTTTTGTTTTTTGTAAGAAGCATTTGCCCAACTTTTTGGTGCGAGAAGCACCATTCTCTTCAACCAAAAATATATAAACATGGAATCACCGAGTAATTGAATTATTATAATTCTTAATTATTACAATCACCAATTATTTGAATCATATATCCCATGGCTACAGTACCTTCATCGTCATTTTTATTTTAAATTTCTTTTACTGGTTTTTGACCCGTTCAATGCACGGATATGTTGAATCATAGGCAGGGACAGATCCACGTTTGCTATGGTGGAGGTAATTGCCCTCACAACCCAAGAAAAATTTACTTAAAATGACTTAGGTTATATTTTTATTGTCCCCTCAACAAAATTTTAATTGCCCCTCTCATTTTAAAAGAATTTTATTTATTTTCTTATAAAATTTTACTTATCCCATTAGAAAATTTATTATCTAAAACTATAATATATATATATATAACCTTAAATAGTAATAGTTTTATGATGGAAAAGTAATAGTCAGAAAAAATTGTTTATGAAAAAAATTTTGTGAAAACAATTCTCAAACATGTAATTTATTTGGAGGAAAAATAATGATAAGAAATGAAGAGGTTTTTGTGTGCAAAATTCTCTACCATACAAAAGAGGTATACTCCCACAACTAAAAAATGCATATAGGTGTTGGAAGTTAAAAAATATAAGATATTTTTAGTGTTTTAATGTGTAATTAATGTGTTTTTAAAAAAGTGCTCCTAATAAATAGATTATTTTATATTTATTTTAAAGTAAAATATCTTATTAAATAGTTAATTTGAAGACAACTAATTAGTTTATTGAGATGAGATTTAGTTAAAAAAATTACATTTTTAAGTAAGGGAATATAAATTTTATTTAATGAAATTAAAAAACATGATGCTATATATAAAGAGAGTTTTTTATGTTATTCTAATTCTATCTTTATGTGTTGTTTTAAATATTTAATTTTATTAACTTATATAAAAAATATAATTATATATAATTATTTTTCATAGAAATATAAATATTTATTTTAAATATAAATTATGCCCCCATTGATTTGTTTTTTGGGTCCGTCACTAATCATAGGATAGATATGTTGAAAATCAAGAATCAATAATGTGGGCCAAGTTCAACAGGCCAGCTCAAACCCCGATCCAAATAAACTCAACTGTTAGAATTTTCAGCTCTATATGTTTATAAAGTTTATAATTTTAGTCAAGCCCAATTGACCAATCCGAACCCAATCAAAAAAAATTAGGGTCGAGTTTGATTATATGAGTTTTTTTAAGAAGATATAATACTTTAAGTCGTATTTAAATTGAACCTAACTCGAATAAGTTTGACTCGCTTGAACTACTGACTTTAATATAAAATAACAAAAGTACATTAATGCAAGAAAAGAAAATAATTCTTACTTATTATTTGTGATATGATTAGGGTTAAATTATCACGAAACACGTGCAAATATAGCTTAAAAAATAGTGACCGAACATGCACAAATTTGCGCAAGTCGTTGATATAATATTCTTTTGCTTTTTGCTATTGATTCTTACTTTTGAAAGCCACACACCAGGTCCCCCACTCTAATTTTTATTTTAATATTTTTTAATTTCTTTGTTACTCTCTCTTTTCTTTTGGGTCAGAGTATTTCCTTTCTTTTTAGGCTTTATTTAAATCTAATTTAATTATGATCTTAGTTGCGTTTACATTTCAATTGGTTGTATAGTCTATAAATTTTTTACTTTGTTTGGAAAAATAAAATAATTTTCTTCTTTTGTTGATCGGTGCTTTATTCAATCCTTCGTTATTCAATATTTTGCTCCTTCATTATAATTTCAATTTTTAAGGGATTTTAAGTTAAATATTCTTATTTCTTCGTCCTTCCATATAATTCTCCCAAATACTTTCTCAAGGTAAAATTCAAATTTTAAATTATTTATTTTTTTAAAAAAATGTTAGTGCATAAATTTCTTTCAATATATCATTCATTTCTCCTCGTTCATGCAATTTGATTTGTATGTGTAGCAGATTCTTTTACATCTTGAATTGAAAGTGCACGCCAAAACAAATCAACGGAAGAAGAAAATAAAATCTCCAACTAGCTAGGAAGAATTACGCCTAAAGTCGAAAATAATAAATTATTGTTGGTAAAATAAAATAATAAATTATTTATAAATATGGATTTAAAATTTTTAAAGTTATTCTACATGATTCCTGTTTTAAAATAAAAAAGATGTCTGAAATGCCCACTGGACAAATAATTTATATCATTTGGTACCAATACATAAGAAATTCGAAGACAGGGAGAATTTAATAATCATACATAAAAGAATTAGTACCTTGAAAATTTTCTATATATTTCTATGAAAATTTAGTGTTTCTCTTAGTGTTAAATCTCCTATATTTAACTATAATTTTTTTATATGTGACTACTAAATAAAGTAAATTATTTATCTTATAGACATCTCAATCATTATATCTATATATATATATATATATATATATTATTTTTGAAGGAACCCGGTCTTTCTCAATAATTGTAAAAATATAAAATCCTTATCTATAATACTTTCTTTGTTAAAAATATAATGCATTTTTTCATAGGTAAGATATTAAAAAATATAATATACTTTGGGTTTTGAAAAAAATTAATGAGGTTTTTTAAAAAATACTCTTAATTATAAATGAAGTTAATATAAATTTTTAATTGAGACAGCTTGATGTGATTTTTTAATTTTGAGTAATTCATTTTCGTTATTAAGCTTTAAGCATAACTCCCCCTTGTAACGAACCACGTGGCGGTGGCACTATCCGATATTGAAAATTCACAATGCATCGATTGCAACGTCCCCATTTTCTGTCCGACGCTGATAGCTTTTTCTTCAGAAATCTGGAGGTCTCAAAGATTCGTCTCGGCAATAAATTCATCATGTGGAGCCAAAGCGACACTAGTGCGGGTCACCACCACTCGCTAGCCAACGAATTTCTCTGCCCAGGAGACAAGAATCTGTCAATCATCGCACAGTGAAATGGCGAGCGTAGCGATAACAATGGCGATGGTGGCCTCGCAGTTCTTGGAAGTCGGCTTGAACACTCTGGTCAAGGCGGCCACCACCAATGGCATGAGCAAATTCGTGTTCGTTGTGTATTCCAACGCCTTAGCCCTCTGTTTTCTTCTTACTTCTACCTTCCTTTATCACAGGTTCCGACCAATTCCTTGACCTAACTGAGAAGCATGATGTGTGATTTTAAGCTGTGTTTTCCGATTAAGTACTCGAGTCCTCGTCTTCTTTTTTCTGTCGAATTTCAACGGCTTCCTATGGTTGTATTAGTTACTCGTGGTGGTAATCGACTTTTCTTATTCAAATTATTAAAACAAAAAGTTCTGTTGTATTTTGCACGAATGTTGAACATGTTTCAAATCCGATACAACACAGTTTAATTTCTTTCACAGCTTTTGCTTGACTGACTGTTTGCTTTTGTTGATTTAACGATTTCAACAGGAAGGTGGCTCCTCCTCCAATCTCAAGGTCAATTATCTGCAGAATCTTCCTGGTTAGCTTGCTCAGGTATATAAGTATTTGAAAAGTTTTTGGGGTCTGAAATGTTCTGAATCTGATATATACTAGCTAGGTGAGGGTTTACTGCGATATGAATGGGGAATTTGATTGTTTGCGTTGTTGTGGTAGCTGTGCAGTGCAGACACTGATGTATACTGGTATTCAATTAAGCTCTCCCACTTTGTCCTCGGCTATGCTGGATCTTCTTCCAGCTTTCACCTTCATCCTCGCCATTGTTTCCAGGTCTTTCTTCTTCACCTTCTGCTCTTGCTTTAACAAACTGAATCATCTATACTCCATCCCGTATTTATTACAGGGCACCCTAAAATTTTTTTGGCACGTAAACACACCTAAAATTATTTATTATCATTATTCAATTTTAATCTCATTATAAATTTAATTTTATGTCATCATGTAATGCGTAGCTCTTTTTTTTTAATTTTAATAAAGATAAAGTTGATTTTTTTAAGACATTTTTAATAAGGGTAAACTATTTTTAAAAATGTCTACTCTTAGCTTTCTTTATCCCTTATTTTTTTTTTCTTAGTTTCCCCTCTATCTGAACTAAGCTTTAATAAGTTAATAGTCATTTCTTAATTCTAATAAATAGTTAAAAGTGTTTTATAATATGAATGTATTCATTTGTGTGAAGAAAAATAGAATATACATGAATTAGGTGTCCCGCACATTTTAATTTATATGTCAAAAAAAAAAATTCTGTGTTTCCCAATGTAAAGCATTTTGGGAATTAAATAGATTTTTTAATGTTATTTTAACCTAAAACACTCTTAATAATTGATGATTCAGATAAGATATTAAGAAGGTAAATTGTAATTAATAAAAATATACAATATTTTTAGTATAAGGAATACAAATAATTTTTTAGTAGTGTGAATTAGTGTTTTTTTTTTTTTGTCAAAGTAGATGTTAATTAGTTGAAAGCATTTATAATATGAAAACAGAGGTGGTATTTTTCGTATTTTTAAATATTTTTTGTACAGGATTATATTGTTATTACTTTTACCTCTTGGAGTGGCACTGTGGGAGTGTTGAAAAATCAGTCTTAAAATTGAAAATTAGCATCCAAAGCCAGAAAGCTACTAATACGTGTAATGAAGAAAAACTAAAGTCAATACCCGTAGAAGTAGAAAACGAACTCCACTGAAAATGAATCAACTAACTAGTTACAAGATGATTTTATAATGTTCATCAAGTAGTTTGATGCTTGTTAAACATTTGTCAATTAGGGTCAAACTTGTAAGTTGACTTCTTTTAAGCCTAAGAATAGCTCGGGTTGAGCCGATTTGTTGGAGCAAAAAATGATAATCTGTTTAAGCTCAATAATAAAAAGGGCACTCTTTTATTGTTTTTTTAATTTTAATATAAAAAATATAAGATTAAATATCTAACTAAAAGAAATGGACACCCTAAACTCATTTTTCTTCCTTTATTCATTCATTAAGATATAATTGATAATGTTAGCCAATTTTAATTTTTATTGATATTAAATTTGATATTAATATTTAATATTAGACTTAAATGTTTAACTTTTTATATTTATTGTGGTGTAAATTAACTTAAATTTTCTTTTCTAAACTTAATTTTATGCATAATAATTTTTTTAAAATTATAAATATATTTTTTAAATTTTTTAAATTAAAAAAAATAGAGTTGAGGTTTTGAAAATTAACCCTTTAACATGAGAGATAGGGTTGAGCCTTGTAAAAACGAAGCTTAAAATATAGTTAGGCTTATGGTTCTTCGCATGTTTCACTCTTAAACGCAATTGTAAAAAGCTTATTATTTCATTTGCGTCAATTCGTGTATCGTCTGCCGTAAGACAGGTTGACACTTGAGTGGCTTGAATGAATCAATGAAACCCTGCTTTTGCCATTTGTAATGCTTGATGCATGATGCATATGCTCCCGTAAGAAAATGGTCAGCCAGTTGATCTTTGGGCGCTGGTGGCCCCCACTTAACATTTTCCTTGTGGAAATTGGACTTCGACGTGAATTGTCAATTAACATCACTTATTGCAATTGATTTGAGCCTCACCTCTAATCCACAGAATTATCTAGAATTATTGTTTCATGTGATTATGAACCGAAGAGACTGTAAGGAAAGTCTTCAATTTAAATGCGAGAAGTTAACATATCTCTAAGAAAAATAAATAAATAACACAAGAAATAAGATTGTGCATAATATTATTTATTCTCTTTTTTTTATTTCAAAACATTTCGAAATTTTAAAGAATGCAAATTTTGCAAAAAGATTATGTAACTTAGTGACATTTAATTCTTCTTTTTTTTTTTTAAGTACGAGATTCAGGTTCTTTCTTGCTTTGACTTTGTGCTGTGCATGTCACATTAATTTTGAAAAAAAATGCAAACCTATTAAGTTTCCTTTCTTTATCTTTTACTGAAGGTTCTTTATCTTTTAGTCTCTTTCTTTCTTTCGGGTTTGGCAATTGCCTTCGCTCTCTTGGTTTCACTTGAAGTGTCTCAAGCAAGATATCAAAAGCAGATCGGAACTTGAACTCAAATCGGTTATAATTAAAGTAATATATTTTAATTCAAATATACAAAAATATTTACATTTAATTATGAAATTCAGTAATATTCAAATAAAAAAACCTTAATTCTAAAGCAAATGAAAATTTCATTCATAAAATCTTATAATGTTTTATACAAATATTAATTATAAGTTTCTAATAATAATAAAATACAACATCATTAAAAATATTAATTAAGAGATTTAGATTTGATTTAGAGTTCAATATTTATAAGAGGAAAGGAAAAAAAGATAATAGTAATAATAAAAGTAACCCAAGACTAACCTGTCAAGTTGATTGAGTTAATCTTGGGTTACTGGTTCACAACCTCTCCAGTTTAGCTCATTAAAATTAGTTCAAAAAATAAAAAATATTTTTTAAAAGTCTTGAATATTCGAGCTTGTCCAAATAAGTCCAAAGCCCAAAAGCGTTCGAGTCAAGTTTAGTTATATGAATTTTTTAGATAAGATACTTTAAGCTTATTTGCATAATTTCGACTCGAATTGAGCTCGGGCTACCCAAATTGCTGGCTCTACCCTCAATACACACATAATTATATGGGAAAAATATCAATCAAGAACCTTTGAAAGAAATTTATATTAGTTAATGATTACTTATTGTCAAAATTTAAATGTATACTTATCAATTTGGGTTTGTCTTTTATTAACAAGTATTCATTCATACTTATTTTTTATTAAAGTTTTGATAATAAATGGTCTTTAACTAATATAAATTTTCTCCGACAGTCCTAGAGTGTTATTTTTCCAATTATATAAACATTGAGCTAGGCCGAACGAGTTGAGTAGAATGCATTGTTCAATAATAATCCATCCCAACGTTCAACTTTGGCCCAACCACATCCAAATTCCCTCTCTCTCTCTCTCTCTGTTGTATTTTTTAAGAACCAATAATTTAGATCAAACTGACCAAAGCAGTCTGAAGAAGTCCAAAAAATTTTAAAATTGGGCTTGAGAAATCAAAAAATTTTCTTTAGTTCAGGCCATAATTTTTTTTTTTTTACCTTGTTGGGATGGGCATATGCCATCGGGCAGCCGGGCCAGATAAACTATAGAAGTGCCATAATAGCATCTGTGACATCAAGTGCCTCTTCGGCTCTTTAAAAGAAGTGAGGTTGCTGGTTCAGCTGAATTTGTGTGAGTTCTCCTCCCTTATGAGAAAAGGTTGCATTGGGTTTGGCGTGTGTTTAATTGTCCCTCTCCCAAAGAAAATCTTTATCTTACTCTTTACTATTAGATATTAATGACAAATTCTGTTTACCAAAATACTTCAAATTATTCATGCATAAAAATCTGGGTCCTGGGACTTTTGATAGATTATAGAAACTAGAAGTGCCCTATATTCATCCGCAGAAGACAGGACTGGACAATCGGTGTGAACTCCATGATATGTGATTTCAGGATGGAAAATCTGGATTTGAAGTTACGAAGCAGTCAAGCTAAATCTATTGGAACAGTGGTCTCAATCACAGGAGCATTAATTGTGACCCTGTATAAGGGTCTTCCAATTACTCCCCAGCCCCTACAAGAGAAGCCACTGATGAGTTGGGTTTTGCTCTCTCAGAAATCAAATTGGCTATTGGGAGGCTTTCTCCTTTCAATTTCCAGCTTTTGTCTCTCTCTCTTAATTGTTGTCCAGGTATTAATTCAAACATATTCCTTCTCTGAGAAGATTCCATCTTCTAAAATTCTTAACGGTTAGATGAAACATATATATATATATATATATATATCAGTCTATCGGTCCTTGCATAAGTTATTTTTTTACAATAAATTAATGGTCTTTTTTACAAGTTACTTTGTATTAAAAAGATGAATCATTCATTTTTTTTCAATTATTTTACTACAATTTTCTATAAGTAGAATAAAAGTTTACATATGAATAGAAAATATTTTTAAAGATGATGTATTTAATAAGAGCGAATTGAAAAAAACGTCTTTTCTTTTTAAACAACATTAATAATTTAATTACTTCTCATGACTTCCGATGATAAAGTTAAAAATGATTTATACAAGGAGAATACTTGAAGAATCTCTCTAATATTTTGCTGCTGTAATTATAAATAGTAATTCAATTGAGTCAAAGGGTTTAATATTTCTTAAACAAGGTTCTGATTTTTAAAACTATTTGTATGGAAGAAACTGTACTAAGTGTAAGTAAACTAACCATATTATAGGACATGATAATACTTAAAATTTAAATTATTTCATAATGTCAAGTACTAAATAGTTACTACGAAAAATACACTGCGCACCACTGGAAGAAGTATCGAATCTTTTTTTTAATTTTTTTGGCCACGAAGAAGTATCGAATCTAATTTTATTAATGTAGCTCAATCTAGGTAGTTCAATTATAGTCTTTCTGAAACTATGATCGATTTTGTCCCTCGAAATTTTTCCATCTTCAAATACACATGCAGGTCTGGATTCTCAAGGACTACCCCGCAGAGTTAATGCTCACAACTATTTGTTGTGGTTTTGTGGTTGTTCTTTCTGCCATAATAGCTCTCATTGCAGAGGGAACTTCAAAAGCTTGGATCCTCAGACCTGATATGGAATTGGTAGCCATATTTTATTCAGTAAGTAGTACAAACTGCAGAAGAAATTAAACTACGTATTTCGATCGATCTGAACTGTAAATTTAATTTGGTGCAAACCTTAATTACACTTACTGGCATATAGTTTATATGGCAATTGATGATGGTTCATTTGCAGGCAATGTTTATGATATCAATCCGAAGTGTTGTGTTCGCATGGGCTACTCGAAAGAAGGGACCAATTTATGTGGCCATGTTTACCCCTTTAGGGATGGTCATTGCAATTGGCATGGGAGTCATTTTTCTGAGGGACACTCTTTATCTGGGAAGGTACACACAAAAACAAACTCTTAAGGCCCCTACTTGACACACGGTAAATATTTTTTATGAAAATGGAATTAATGGGATTATGGGAATGAAATGGAATGGAGATAAATATTATATTAAAGAAATATCTTGGTATGCGTGGGAACAGAAACATAATATCTAACACTGATCTGGAGTTTGATTTGTGGTGCAGCATAATAGGAACAGGTATAATAGGAATTGGATTTTACTCAGTGATGTGGGGGCTTGCTCAAGAGGACAACATGGTGAAGGAGAAGGAGAACAAGAACATGACATCTTCTACCACAACCCCTTTGCTACAGGATAAAAGCTTGCATGTATAGAAGAGAAACAAGCCATAGAGAATGTCAAGTATGTATAACAATATTATGTGTAAATCAGGCTCTATCACTTGTCACACATCTGTAAATTATATAAATCTTTTTTTTTATTTTGAAAAATTACTTACTCTTTAGAATAAAATAAAATAAAACACGCTGCATTTGTGAAGTAGTTGTATAAATAATAAATAATATATATTATCAAAAAAGGGTAATTAATGCACTTCAAAATTAATAATAACTATTTTATTTCAGGATAACCCATTTGATAAAAAGAGACAATGTTTATATCAAATTAAAATTAGACAGTGGTCTGTGGCCTTCATGTTTTTCGTATATTTTGAGGTGCATTGCTTTTTTTATATTTTATGAATAATGTGATCTTATTAATATACACTTCACATGATTGTAATTTGATTCAATTTTTTAATTTGATCCATGTAAGGTAAAAATTTATAATTGAATTCTTATAATTTACAAAATTTATAATTAACTTGAGAGTATTTTTATTTTTATTTTTATTTTTCTTGTTACTTTTTGTCCCTTCTAGTATCTGCCTATTCGAACTCCTACTTTGCTGTCAGAATAAAGCATGCTAGCCAGCAGACCACGCAAGTCTTCAAAGCGGTTTTTTGTTAACTTTTTTTATTAATAAACTTAAGTTGAAATATTATCTTATTATTAAAAAAAAAAAAATACTCTCAAAATGTAATAACTGTTAGGGAGCTATTTTAATTGTATGACAAAATATATTGATAAAAATATTATACTGAACTACATTTGTACTCTTTATTAAAAAATATTTGACCGTTTTAGCTATTTTAATTATTTTGTCTTCTCTAACTTTTTTTTCATATATTACACGCCCGTGTTTATTTTTCCCCTGAGCTTCTCTATGAAGATTGAAGGCTGTGTCCGGGATTTTTGTGGCTCTATGCAAAATATTTTTTTTAAGACTTATCCAAAATTATCCAACAGGTCTGATATAATGTAACGTATTAATCCTCGTGAAATTTATATAGCCTTTTAGTTTTAAAATCATTTACCAAAGTTTTACAGTCAAATAATTCTTAAATAATATGCTCAATTCATTCAATTTATATCATGTAAAATAATTGATACCAGATAGTAGCACTAAAATAGTTTTAATTTTGAAAAACTTTTCTAGACAACAGCAACAATAAAAAACAATATTATCCACGATATCCCATGTGCAATTGGAAAATAATACAATATTTTGATATAGTTTATGTTTTATAAGTGTATTAATTTTTCTTGTCGACAATTTTTTTATTTTCAATTCTAAAAAATAAATCAAGAAGATTATTAGTATAAAATGTTATGGAATACTTTAAAATTAAGTTTTAAAATTGATACAATATCACTTTAATTCATCTAAAATTCCAAAACATTAAGATTTAAGGCTCTCAAAATGAAAAGAATAAATATGTGATTTCATCACTATCATTTTCACCAAAAATCCAACGCCTTGTCACTTCTTGTCTCATATATTAAATCATGCTTGTTAAAAAGGTATACATATATACGTATAAAGCTGTAAAATGTTTTTTTTTTTTGTAGGCGTAAGGCAATGGCCTGAATATATGCCTTCCCGTGATCATGTTACTTACCATCTCATAGTTATTTTCATAAGTTTTTTTTACCTTACTTATCAAATAACATGTCCAAAATACTCTTTTTAATCTAAAATTTAAGACACTTTTAACTATATTTCACATATCAATAAAATTATTTATTTTCTTACTTTCATAAAAAAATAACATGTCTTTTCATTTTACCCCTTAATCTTTTATATTAAGAAGTGAGGAGAAGTTTTCAGTCTGATTATACTTTTCATAACCATATTAATTTTTTTGGCCAAAATACTCATATTAATTAATACAAATATAAATTAAAAAAATGATAAAATCCTAATTTTGTATTAAGTTTAATTAATAGGATATAGTACAATCTACCCCCAAAGAGAAATAAGGATTTAAGTTTGAATATTTTGATGGCAAAAGATTGAGAGAATTACACCTTAAGTTTTACATAAGAGAATTAACTACTGTAAAGTTTAATTGTTAATGTCCTTAATTCAGTTATTAATTGATCTTGTGAAAAATTAATTCCTTTTTATGAGACTTCAATGTAATTTTTTTTAAAAAAATTTGAAAATAATATCAATGAAGGACCCCAAAAGAATTTTATATTTACCAAAAATTCAGGATTGATTGGGTACTTTTTAAAATAATAATTTTACTTATTAATTTATTAATATTTACTTGATTGATAGAAATTCTTATAAGATATTATAACTTTTCTAAAGGATTATTGAAGCATTAAAGTCAATTATTAGTCGGAAAGTATAGAAAACAATGCATGATTTCTGACGACACAATACACGTCATCAACTGCCACAGGCTAATTAAAGTAATAAAACTATATCTTCTGGTGATGTGACTCTAAATGTGCGTCGAAGGCTCCAAGTAATTTTCCACACCCTTCATTGTGAGGGCATTACCTGTTATCTGTCATGTATCATGATTATTGATTTTAGTTGAGATTTTTTAAAAAATAAATAAATAAATAAGTATCACTTTTCTTTTTGAGATTCTTGATCATGTTCCCACAGTCATCGCCCGACATGCCACTATCTACAAACCTGGCTACAGTTGCTTTCTGAAGGACAGCAACTTCAATGGCTCGTTCCATAAGAATCAAAGCAATCACGGAATGAAATTTTTACGGCGTTGGCTGGTATATAATTATAGGATATTTTTTAAAAATTTATTTTATCTTTAAATATAAAACATGTTAAGATATTTTTTAAGTAATTAAATAATTTTTTTCTTGTCTTAAAAAAAAAAGAGATGTCAATTAATTATGTTAGCCATTACCACCATAATATTAATTAACATTATTAGAAGATAAAATTTAAAAATTATTGTAATTTAACGTAATTTCAACCAAATAATAATTTTTTATTAGTACATATATTCAGTTAAAAACATTTTATATATAAATATAGATGGAAGATTATTATTATTATTATTATTAACAAACAGCCTTATCGAGTTAAATATGATTGACTATACAAATTGAATAGTGTGATTGTATATATTAACAATCAAATCTTTGAATATATTATTAATCAAATTAATAATTTTATCGGATGTTCTGTTTATGTTTTTTTTTTTTATAAAGATGATAATATGAGTTAGGTTTGTAAATCCAACCCACTAATCTATCATAGTCAAGCCCGCCAAAGGCTAACCCGCACATTTTTATTGTTTATAATTACATTTTTTACATAATATTTTCCTACCATAATCAAAATAGTTGTCTTAAAAAGGATTTGTTTCTTTAATAAAAAAAATTTGATAAATTAGATGTGAGAGAGTAACAATGATGATAAAAAAATTCAAAGATTAATGAATACTTGAACACATATGTATTAATCATCTCATCCTTCCTTATTATTATAAGATTTTTTTTATCATTCTATTTTTTTAACTCTCATAGACATCCTTCTATTAAAGGCAATTATATTTGAGATATGGTTGAGTATTAAATATGGATACCTCTCTTTGAAATTCAAACTACTTTTCTATCATTGTTAAACAACCTTAATATTTATTGATATAGTATTTTCCAACCAATTAAACAACTTTCTAATAACTCGTTATTTTCTATTTAATGTATTTCACTGGGAGTAATTATAAAAATTTAAAAATATTAATTAATTTTAACTTTTCCAGTTATTTATGGTGAGAAAGAGAAACCATTATTTATTTAATGAATTTATGGTGTGAATATAATTCAAAATTTAATTAAAAAAATGAATCACTCAAAAGAAAACAACGAAAATTGCAATCACATGAAACATAAGATATTAAAAACATCAAAACAAAAGGCAAAAGTATAGGTAGGGTGATCTCAATCATGTTGGAACATTGTTTCCCAGTTGAAGAGGATGACAACCAAGTCCCAAAAGAAACAAAATTCTAAAATACAAAGTAAGTTCCAAAGGTCTTTAGCTAGTATAATACCCTTAATAGTTATAATACAATATTTCGATTACAGAAATTTGCCACTTATCCTCCCAGATTTACAACTTTATTTTCTAATTTTATTTATAAACACAATATTTTAACATGAAATTTTGAAATTGTTTGCAACTTATTTTCTCAAATTTGCAACTCCATCTAATTAGATGTGCGACTCTCTGTTCTGATTTCATTTACTAACATATATCTGCTGAAAACGTAAGTGGTACCACCACCTCCTCCACCACCATTTCCACCATTTACACAGTGGAGAAAGCACGTTCTCTACCTCATTTCCACTCACTTGTGTTGGTGCCTCTTATTGGGCTGATAATTCTAGCGAGTAGGCTTATTCGGATCAGGCTCAATTTGAACTAAGCTTATTTAGATCGGGATTAAAGCATCCTATTCTCTTAAAAAACTCATATAGTCAAGCTCGACTTTAAATTTTTTTCAGCTAAGTTCTGGTGGATTTGTCAAGCTTGACCAAAATTATCAATTATATATATATAGAGCTAAAAATTTCAATGGTCAAATTTAAAGTATCTTACCTAATTAAAAAAAATCTATATAACTAAGTTTGGTTCTAACTTATTGGGCAGATTTAGGCTGGCTTGAATTATCAACTCTATTTTATTGCACATGTGAATGACATTTGTGAATAATCAGATCTTTCTCCGTTGCGAGTGGGAATGAGGCGGAGAACGTGCTTTTTCCACTGTGTAAATGGTGAAAATGATGGAGGAGGAGGTGTTACCACTAATTTTTTTGGTAGATACATGTTAGTAAATAAAATCAGGACAGAGAGTTGCACATTTGATTAGATGGAGTTGCAAATATGAGATAATTAGTTACTAACAATTTCAAAATTCCATGTTAAAATATTGCGTTTATAAATAAAATTAGAAAATTAAGTTGCAAATTTAGGAGGATAAATGGCAAATTTCTGTATTTGAAAATTAAGGGTGTTCGAGTCTTTTCCAAAGTATATAATACTAGCCGGGGTCCTTTGGGATTTACTTTGTATTTTGGAATTTGTTGGGATTTTATTGAGATAAAATGATTTAGGACTTGTTTGTCAGTCTCTCTTCCCGATTATCACTATTGGAGTTCGAGCCCA